GCTGCAGAGGGGGGAGCCCGTACGCCGCCGGGTCAAAGTCCTTCGGCTCAACCTTCAGATGGCGGGCCATCCTCCGGTAGATGAGGGCTTGAGTGAAGAACTCGCCCCCATCATAATACTGCTTACCCTTCCGGGCCATCCACTCCTCCCCCGGGCCCTCAGACCATTCATCAACCGAGGCCTCAACAACCAAAGACAACCATGCCTTGTGCCCCTCGGTCTTCCACCCCCGTCCAGGAACCCGGAGATGGCCTCCTCCCGGGCTGTGGCGACAGCTTTCGCCTTGAGGGCCTCGGCCTCCTCGGCTGCTCTCCTTGCGGCCTCCGCAGCGGCCGCCTCATCTTCTGCCTTCTCCCCCCTGAGCCTCTCGGACTCCGCCCTCGCAAGCCGGAGGTCCTCCTCAAGCTGGGCCATCAGCTTCGTGGCCTGGGAGTCCCTAAGGACCAGCTCCTTCATCTTGGCGTCTTGCCTAGCTTTGTGGAGGTGCCATTCCTCCAGCCGTCGGAACTGCTCCCCGAGGGCAACGCAAGTCTGCAAAGATAAGCGGGTTGTCAGGGGCAAACGTGATTTCTTAGTTCAAAGTGGGAAACAAAAAGACAAACTACAGTGAACTCACCGTGAGGGAAGACCGGAGGATCCTGTCTTCAAGGGCTTGATCATCATCAGCCCCGAGAGCCGCCCTGTCGATATCGAGGGTTATACCCCTCAGGAGCGCCCTCGGGTCGGCTGTGCCATTCAACACGGCCGTACCAGCCGGAAGGGAGAGCGTGAGGACCTCGAGAGATGGCTCCTGGACCACCCCCGGCACCTGCGCCGTCGTCATCACCGGAGGGTCATCTATAATCACCACCGGGGGGTCATCCTTCGCGGCATCCCCCTTCTTTAACTTTTTAGGGGCTTGGGGGGGCTCCTTTGCCGACGGCTTTCTCTTAGCCGCAGCAGCATCGCCCTCGGGCTTTTTGAGGGGCGCACCGACGGGCTTTTGGCCACCTGCGTCCGACCCCTTCGGATCCTTGGCCGGTTTGTTCTTGAATCGGGCGAGGCCTTTGACATTCATCATACTTACTGGAACACCTGCAAAAAAAAATGAGGGGTTAGGATCGAGGGGTCACTACTAAGTGGCATAAAGGATTAACAAAACAAATGGACAAACGTGCTAAGATGAGGGTGAGAATGCCCTCAGCTACTACCTCCGGAGGCTCCCTCAAACACTGGGAACTTCTCATCAGTTTCCCCCAGGAACCGGTACCGCCGGAACCCGAGGGTGTAGAGATCTGCTTCTTTGGTGCAGTCCTTGATGGAGATATTCTTGTCCCGGCCCTCCGGGATCATGGCCAGAATCCTGCCATCTTTCTCGAGGGCGGCGCTCCTCCTCTTTTCGTGCCTCCTGAAGCGGTCACGTAGTTCCCTCGGGAAGGGGCTCTCGGCTAGCTTCACATAGCACCACCGGTCCTTCCACCCCTTGTTCGAGGAGGGCGCCTCGGTGAAGAGTTTGAACACGGACACCTGCTGCAGATTAGCGAATCCCTCGGCATTCGCGTGCCCCCCCCCCCCCCCCGACACAGGTTGAAGCTCTGGAAGAAGAGGTCCAGGCTAGGCATCACCCCCCGGGACTTACAGAGCTGAAGGAAGCTAGTGATATAAGAATGGCTATTCGGGGTCAGCTGGCAGGGAACCAGACCGACGAACCGAAGATACTCCCGGAGGAAGGGGTGCAAGGGGAAGCGGAGCCCCATGGATACTGAGAGGACGTGCACCGCAATGCAGCCCTCGGGAGCCCGGGAGAGAACGTCATCCGGACCCGGTGTCACCACGATGGCCGAGGGGCCCACGTGAAGCTGGGTGACATAAATGTCCGCCGCATCAACCTTCGACTTGATCTCCAAAGCGGCGGTGTTGAGATAGGAGTACCCCTCGGGCATATCGAGGGGCTTCCCTTGATCTGCTACGCTGCCCTTCTTCTTGGGAACAGCAGCCTTGGCCTTCTTCTTTCCGGGGGCCACCCGGAGGGGGACCGCATTCAGCGGCCGAGAGGTGCTGGCCTCCCCGGCACCCCGAGGGGGGAGCACAGCAACGGTGACCCCATCGCTTTCCTTTTGTGCCTCCTCTTCAGCTGCTTGCCAGGCGATGGCCAACTCTTCGTCCTCACATTCCTGCTCAAAGCCCTCGGCCTCCGCCTCAGCTACGAGGGCTTTCTGCAACTCCAGGGCAATGACGGCATCCTGTCCCACCGATGACTCTGCACTTGAGGACTCCACGTCCGAGAGGACTTCATCCTCCACCGAGGGCGCCCCCGAGATATCTTGAGAATCACTTTGGGACGACATGCTGACTCTAGTTCGAAGGCTCGTGCACGCTAGCGTTTCTAATTTTCTATCTCCTAACCTAAGGGCACGGTACAGGTAGCTAAGAGGTGAAGGGAAAGCGGGCACTGACCTTGAAAGCAGAAGTTCTGACCGAAGGCTGGAGTTTCTCTCACTAGATTTTTGGCAGAGCTTCGCTAAGACAACTGAGTTCGCACAGGGGAAATGGCTCTGGCCTTGGGGTATTTATAGGTGATGAATCCGGGCTTGGGCCTGGATTCCGGGCCTCCGGACGGACCGCCATCATTACACACCGCCGTTTCACCCAACCGGTGACGCCGCCCACGAACAGCCAGCCATCACACGCCACGTGTGCCACCCCCCCAACGGCTATATCCTGTCGTTACATATTCCAACGGCTATATTTCCAACGGCTATATTCTGGAAGCCCCCGGGTTTTCTACTTCACTCCGCTTCATCAAGGATAGCCTCCGGGTGCACTCACCCAGAAGTGCCCCCGGGTTGTGCCCCACACAGCACATTACACACGCCTTCGGGATCACTCCTTCAGAAACCAAGGGCTTCATATCAGGACACCCCCTCGGGGATTCCCCCTCAGCACTGCAAAACCGGGTAGCCCCCGGGGCGTTGCCTCATTGACGGATGACCCACGGCACACAGGTAATGGGAGCCCTCGGGTATCTTCATCACCAACCAATCAACAAACAGTGGACCCCCCGGTAACAACTCCACTGCTGCCTTCATCTGGCAGGGCCTCGATCCCTGGATTGAGGGGCTCCCCTTCAGCGCCACCAGGACATCAACAGCAAGCCTTCGGCTAATCAACACAGGAGCCCTCAGAAGAGAGAGCCTTCGACATTCCCGTCATTCTCCATTTTTTACCAAGGTTTGACATTTTCGATTCATCATTGGGGGAATTCGGTGCACTCTTTTTCCCTCATTAGGATTTTTTCCCAAAGGGTTTTTCCTAATGAGGTTTTTAACGAGGCATCCCCCCAAAATGAAACGAAAAGCGTCAGCCTTCGGCCCACAACAGCAACATAACTACTTTACTCCTTTTCACCACTCTACAAGTGCCTCAAGGAGTGGGGGACTGGAGGACCCCCTCGGGAAAATCATTAAATTACAAAATCTGTGCAATTCCAACAAACAACAAAGCAAGCCCTCAAGTCCCGACATGTGGGTAACTGAGGGACTGCCTTCAGCAGGGACATAAAAGCAACAACTCCTCACCAACTTCAGAGATCATGACGGGACAACATCAAAGGACAAGCACAAATTACTCCTTTTCCCTCAAGTACCTTTCGGCAAAAGGAGTGAGGGACTCCTGATGGAGTATATGGCCCGGGAACCCCCGGCCCACAGACTCCTACTACTCCAGCAAAGGCCCAACAGGCCCAAAAGGCCCAAATCACAGCGCCCAGAGTACCAAGCAGCCCGCACAACGCGCCAGGGGTGCCTTCGGCCCCCCGGCCGAAGGCTCTAAATTCTCACAGAACGGGTTTCTCAAGCAAATTAAGAAACTGGGAGAAAACGGCGAAAACAGTAGCCCTCGGCACTGTGAGCCCTCGGCACCAGGGTGCCGTCGGGTGGAAGAGCCCTCGGCTACTGCTCTATAGCCGAAGGCATCTCACTCGACAAGATATCCGCCTCACATGCGTACAGATCATTGTACCCCGCACAGACGTCCCATCCAACAGCCGCATTAAATGCGGCCACATGCGGCTGCCAGCGCCAACCAGTTGAGGTGACCCCTCGGCCAATGAGCGCTTGACACGTGTCCTTGCCCGGCATTTATTGCTACTATAAATAGCACCCCATTTCCTCATTTGTAACCACGCTGAAAACGGCATTCATACTGAATACACTCTCTCTACTTTTATTTACTTGCTCTGACTTCTTTCTAAGTTACTTCCCGCAATAACCCTTCGGATATATACCCCCGGGTAGACTATCCATCAAGAGGTGTCACATGAAGTAAGTCTCGTGTTTTAATTCCAGCAATGTGACGAAGTTATCATGTAAAAAATGCACAAAGTTTGTGCAATTACCTCATTTACTCGGTCAGAATCTCAATCACTATCTACTATTGGTCATCTATTTTGCTTTCTATCTCCCATTCTTCCACGTGGAAGAGTGATTTATAGATTGTGTTGGGTAATGGCCGTAATGCACTTAAGGAGTGGTTTGGATTGCTTTTACTTCAAAAAGTAATTTTTTGAAGAGATTTTGGAAAATAATGTTTAATAGTAAAAGTTAGTAGTGTTTGAAAAAAGGGTGATTGTGAAAAGGTAAAAATTGATAATGTTTTATAAAATAAGTGTTTTTTATGTAATAGAAAAAGTGAAAACACCAATTTAAGTTTTTTTTAAAACCAAAAGCTGAAAAAGGGTTTTTAAAGTTTTTGCAAACACTCGTTTACTTTATTTAGGGGGTGTCCCAGATTATGACTTTGATGAATTTTAAAATATCATCGATTTTGAAATCTGAGGAAGTCTACAAATTATCGTGAATTATTTTTTTACATAGAAATTCATCGAAATCCATTAAAATTCTTGAAAATAAGTAACACCAAAATTCCGTATAATATTTGAGGACACACTTATTTTTAATAAATTATGTCCCCTAATTTGACTTAATTCTAAACTCCATTGAAATACATACAGCCTTTGGGGAAATGTTAGGTTGAAATGTTTTTAGGGGAAAAATTATCGTAGAACTATCATTTAACCTTCTCTAGGTCGGAGTATATAGATTAGAGGGCATGGAAGATCTGAGAGTAATACTGAGTGAAGCATTTGGGGAACCATCAGACAGCGATCCGGAAGATGAATTCAGCGCACGGAAAAATTCAAACATGGGAGGAGGAGGTTCGATCTTGTTGGGATCGAATTGGTCATGGGAAAGGATCGCCGAGGTGAATGGCCTGTGGGTTTGCAACGATTTTCTCTCCCTTGATCAGCAATCTTCTTTGCTCTCAGCCATACAAGCAGGTAATCCTTTAATGCGCTCAATTCTGAATGAACTTCTCGAATCTCATTATTTATGTGGTGCTGCTGCAGAAGGATGGTTCACCGAGGAATCACATAACCAGGTTTTATTTTGCTCAGTTTCAATCCGTGAATTCTTTTTTGTTCGTGATAGTGTCCTAGCTCCATTGTTGCAATCAACCTGGTCTACCCACAGAGTAATAAATACGTAGTATCAATCATTTAAGTACTAGATATGAACAGCAATGCTGTACTGTAGTCCCAACTCTGCATTGATGAAGCAGGACTCCAGACTAGTGTATGGACTCGCGATGTTCCATACATGCTTACTGCTCAGTTTGATACTTTGATTGGTTACATGAAATGATGAAAATAGGTTGATGTAGGCTGAAGATATTTTCTATGACATTGTTATTCCTGGAAAATGAGTTCATCTATAGTTCTATGTATATATATGTTGTTCGACGGTTCAACCAAGCAGAACATAAAAAAGATTGATTTTGTTTGAAAATGAATACTTCCAAAAGAGTAAATCATCTTCGACAAAAGTTCATAGAGTAGAAGAAAATGTGCCAAGCTCAAGAAAATGGGTTAACCATTTTCCAGGGAAACTGGGAAATTCCCTTCGCAACAAACAGAGCTTTGGACTTCGTTTGGATCCCTGAAAATGCTAAGAGTAGAAAATGCTACAGAAAATTGTTTCTAATGTTTGGTTTTACTTTGAGAAGTGCAAAGTAACTTGAAATATTAAGATATTTGATACTAATATTATAACTACATTTGTCCATAAGTACTTTATCATTTAATATTGGAAATGGATTTAATGTTAAATTGATTAGAAACTAAAAACTGAATTCGAATATGAAAAAACATGATTCTCGAAATTAGAGAACAATAATGAATAGCGTTTGATTACATTCTTACAATACTACATTAGTAAACCATCAAAATTTATTGGGATGGATGGGGTATAACATAAAGAAACATTAAAAATAAATTTATTTATTGTGAATCAGTGTTTTACTCTACCTACATTTTCTTTCTTTCAAAATTTCTCCTAAAAACTCTCTCCCTATTTTCTTTCAATAGCACTTTTAGGAGTTCCAAACGGACTCTTAAGTTTGGTACTTTAAGATTCTTCTGCAATATATCAGCAAAACTTATAGAGTTCCAGAGATGGTTACTTAAATTAGTCATAATGTAAGATAAAAGAAGTCTTTGCATTACCAACAATTTTCCTCCACTGCAAATGTCTAAGCATCAATCTAAAGACACCTGTGTTTTATAATGTATAAAATGGAATCCAAATGATAAATATTCTAATTGTTCCCATTTTTCATGAAATTACAGAAATATATGTAACTATAACTATCTGATCAATGGACTCGTTCTCATTTTGTGTTCTTAATTTGCAGGCCATGAGGTTTGGAAACCTTCCAGAGTGGGCTGTTGAACTTTCCAACTCAATCCGTCAAGCCATTCTTTTTGGTGGTGGTAGTAGTACGTGTGTTCCTTATGTGCCCTTGAAAACAAATAGTGGGAATCACAAAGAATTTATAAGCTTTCCTCCGGATTTATTATGGAGGGAGCCTTTGTTTGATCAGCTTATTGCAAATGTATACCAACCAGGTGAGGTCAGTCTGGCCCTTCAAACATGTTTTGATTTTTCTCCACTATTTTTTTAGCAATTACATTTGTTTTCTGGCATATGTTCAATCTTGTACGTAGTATATAAGCTGTTTTCAATTTTCATGTGAATAATAGACATGAATTATGTTTTCCGTCATTATCGGAGCATCTTTATTACTCCACTGTCATAAGAATTTTTTTCTACTTGTAGTCTTTTAAATGGGTTGTTGAAGTATTCTAAATGGGTCTTATTGATATTCTTGGTACATTCTTTGATTTTTTTCACTCTAAGTTTTCTTGGTATTGTGATGATGACACTTCTGCTCCTCCAACTATTGTGATAGTGACACCTTTGTCTTGCAACTATTGTGGCAAAGTTCAAAGACGAGTAACCAAAATGTACAATAGTAAGAGGACTAAAATGCGGAAAGTTCAAAATTCTGTACCAAAGGTGTGTTGCAAAACTGGCTGTCCATTGCCGATGACTGAGAGTAGAAAAGTTCAAAAAATGGGTACTAAAAGTGTCATTGTCATAATAGACAGAAACTAAAAATGGAAAAATCATCATCGTAATAAATGTCATCCAAAATACAACTTTTAAATTTGGGTGCGATACAACTTTATAACCTTTTGAACTGACATACTAAAAAGAATCATTGGTTTGGCTAAATCTACACTTGACTTGTTTCAATAACTACTTTTGTCCTAAAACATATCCCGTTTTAGAAACATGTTCAGTTTTCATATAATAATTTAGTTAAACCAACAAATCAATCGGAAGTTTGGAACATTATGGATTTTTATGTTTTCAGGATTGTGACTGCTTTTATTTTGGAAACAAACTCAGGGCATACGTGCACATGTTGATCTCATGAAGTTTGAAGATGGAATTGCCATCGTCTCCCTAGAGTCGTCATGCGTGATGCATTTTGGAAGAGCAGAAAGTGAAGACGTTTGTGGTCTGGGGGAGGATGATAGTGGTGGGAAGGTACCAGTGCTTTTAACCCCGGGTTCACTGGCCTTAATGTGGGGAGAAGCACGATACCTTTGGAAGCATGAGATCAACCGCAAGCAGCAAACTGCTGGGGGGTTTCAAGAATGGCAGGGCAGGCTAATCACCCAGAAAAGGAGAACATCTGTCACCTTGAGAAAGCTTTGCCTGCCAGATTGAGTTAGAGTAGAGGAAAAGATCTTCCACAAGCGTCTTTTTCAGTGGCTCTGTGTACCTCATGTCAAGATTCAAGGGCGCAGAGCCCTAACATGTTGTAACTTTACCCTTGAGAAAGTGTTGACTGGGAGAGTATATCCGGTGAGGGTGAACTCTGACTGAAATTTTTAAAATTGTCACATATTAATGGAGTTGCTGAATCAGTATGCAATAAAAATAATCAAGTATATGCATTGATAATAGTGAGAAGGCAAAAATGTACCCTTAATGATAGGTTAGAGAACACATATGGCCCTCAATTTTCTTTAGGAACAATTAAATACAGTAATTATAAAGCTAGGACAAACATGTATTTATGTCTAAATCACTAAATGGTTGAGGCAGTATTTATGTTCTTTGATACATATACTTTAAGGCAATATTTATCAAATTTTATAATTTTTGTGTTTAATTATTCCAAAATAAAATTGGATAGGTATATTTTGTTACCTGATATTAGTTCAGGGCATATACTCTCTCCGTTCTCTAATAACTCTCTCATATTCCTATTTGAATGTTTTTAAATATTTGTCCCTCTTTCCTCTTTAGTAAGTTTTTCCAATCAAAATGTCTTTATATCATCACTTTTATTACTCTTATCTCTTTTTATTTTTTATATACTCACCCCGTTCTTTATTAAGTGTCGGACATTCCTTTTTGGGACATTTTTAATTATCTGTCTCTCTTTCCTTTTTTGGTAAGTTTTTTCAATCAAAATACCTTTACACCCTCACTTTTATTACCATTACCTCTTTCTCTTTCTTACTTTAACATTTACCCACTACATCTTTTACATAGGGTTGGATTCGGTTCTGGCCACCCGGCCCGTGACCCGGCCCGGTACTGTGCGGGCCCGGGATCGGCCCGGTCGGGCGGTCCGGGACCGGGTATGGGCCCGAACCGGGGGGAAGGGGCGGGGCGGGCTCGGTTCAGCATTTTTGTGACCCGGCCGGGTCGGGCCCGGGTCCGGGTCCGGGTCTATTTTTTTTAATTTTTTTTTTTTTTTTTGGCTACTAGCCGTTGAGGCCTTGGGGGTGGGGCTGGGGACAACCCAAACGACTATATAGCCGTTGGGTGGGGTAAAGGGGGGGTACGGGGGGGGGTGGGGGGTAAAAAAACCTATAAATACTCCTACTCTTAAACATTTTTTCATATCTCTTCTCCAATTCTTCCTAAATTCATTCTTAACTCTCTACTCTCTAATTCTCTTATTCTCCAATATATTATATATCTACTCTCTAATTCTCTTCTCCAAGAAGTTAAGATGGAAAATCAAAATGCCATTATACGGTATAATTTTGATAAGCAGAAGGACCCGAAGACCGGGATGTGGTACGCAATTTGCAAATGGTGCGAAAAAAAATGTATTATGGGGGCTTCAGGCGGATTCGGGAATGCAATCAAGCATATGAAGTCATGTGACAAAGGTCACAAAGCCAAAGGATCGGGAGGTGCGGGAAGTTCCGATTGATTACAATTTTCAAAATGTTTCTCTTAAAGTTTGTTTTAATTTTCAAATGTAGTTCCTATTTCATTTCAAATAAATGCAATTGAAGTTTGTTTTTAATACTCTTATAAAACTATAAACTATAAAATATAAAATATAAATTATAAAAAAAAAAAATCAACCGACCCGGCCCGAACCGGACCCGACCCGTGACCCGGGCGGGTGGCCCGGCCCGAACCGGACCCGTCCAACCCTCGGGCCGGTCCCGGGCCCACTGTTCTTGAACCGGCGGCCCGACCGGGCCCGACCCGGCCCGAATCCATCCCTACTTTTACACTACCCCTAATATTTTCCTCTTAAAACTCGTGCCAAAACTTAAGAGAACAGATAATAAAGAACGTAGGGAGTATCACTTTTTCTTTCCTACTTTATTATTACTTTTCTCTTTTCAATATATTCTCTTTCATACTTTTCATTTATCATACACCTTCTCTAATCTATACAACCCTTGTTATTTTCTTCTTAAAAACCACTATAAACATAAGAGGACTATTATTGTAGAACAGACTCACAGAGGTAGTATGTTCTTTTTATTATTCTTAAAATAAAGGCTATGAAACAAAGCTTAAATTGATCTTCTTCAATAATAAAAGCCACCTTCCAGACTTCAACTATGTTTCCTTTTTTCATTATTAACAAATTAATGCATGCAATTATCAAATAAAGAAACGGCTTTGTCAGGTTATTGTTTCCTACTAATCATTATCTATTTCTTTGACAGCCAAAATGAAAGGCTGAAATCTAGAGGCGAGCATTTCGGTTTTCGGTTCAGTTTTCTTCAGTTTCGGTTTAATCGGTTTGATAGAAAATGTACCAAATACAAATCAATTAAGTTTCGGTTTGGTATGATTCGGTTCGGTTTGGAGTTCGGTTTACCAAAGTATTAAGGTTTGGATTGAAAAAAAAATAACTCAAAATAATGAACCATGAAGCGATAGTAATGAACAAAATATAATGTTAGATACTCTGTGTAAATTTGCAAATAGTAACAAAACACATATGAACCAAAAATATATAAGCATGACACATTTGTAAGCAGCAACAACAACGGGAATGAATCAAATTATATATAAAGCCGAAACAAAAACAAAACTGGCGCTTGTAAGTAATGAACCAAATATATAGTAGTAGTAGATAATAAATTATAGTTAAATACTATCTACTTAAACCACTATAATTGTTATAGTTGTGAATGTAACTCTTGTAATAAACTCTAGTCCTGGATAGTAAAGTTAAAGAATTAAAGCTTCAAAAAGATTAACATCAATCAAATTAGTGAGAGAAATCTTATATTTTGGTTTGGTTTAGTTTGGTGTAAGTTGGTTTTGATTTGTTATTTTAAAAAAATAAGAAATTATTTCATTTTGGAAAAATTGATTGTAATAATCCCAACTATTGGCGATCCGCTTATAATAATCCCAACTATCGATTATCTCAGAATAATCCCAACTTTAGTGACCTTCCGCCAATAATGGTCCATGACCAGATATGACCTGCTATAACAAGTGAATTTTAAATAGAAAAAAGCGTAAAAATTAAAAGTTGAATTATTTATAGGGATTACTTGTTATATCTCTTCTCATTCACTTTATGAATTTATTTATAGCCGGTCATGTCGGACCATTATTGGCGGAAGGTCACTAAAGTTGGGATTATTCTGAGATAATCGATAGTTGAGATTATTATAAGCGGACCGCCAATAGTTGAGATTATTACAATCAATTTTTTCTTTCATTTTTAGATTAATCCGGTTTTATTCGGTTTTATTCGGTTTTATGATTTCGGTTTGGTTTGGTTCGGTTTAATACGGGTTGGGATGAATACTACCAAACTCAAACCAAATTGCAAATGGTTCGATTTTGGTTCGGTTTAATTCGGTTTGGTACGGTTCAGTTCGGTCAAACCGAACCGTTATGCTCACCCTACTGAAAACAATAAACTAAAATTGTTTCCAACTTTTTGTTGGCAATTCTTAATGATGGGGTTATGGGACTAGGCCCAGAGCCTAATCAGCCCAGGCCCCGAACTTGGACCAGCGGGCCCAAGCCCAGCAACCTAGAGCTCGAGTCGGCCCAACCAGGGCAATCAAGGGTTGAAGCCCAAGAGAGCCTGTCGACCAGCCCGGTGGGGAGCCTGCCTTCCAGCCCAGTGGGGAGCCCGCCTTCTAGCCTAGCCAGGAGCCTGCCGACCACCAGCCCAGCTGGGAGCCTGCGGTCCAGCCCAACCGGGAGCCTGCCTTCCAGCCCAGTGGGGAGCCTACCTTCCAGCCTAGCCAGGAGCCTGTCGACCACCAGCCCAGCTGGGAGCCCGCGGTCCAGCCCAACTGGAAGCCTGCGGTCCAGCCTACCCGGGAGCCTTCCTCCAGCCTAGCGGGAAGCCCATCGTCCAGTCCAGCAGGAGGGAGCTCAAGCGTCCAGCCTGCCTGCCAGGCTGACCTGCCAGCCAAGAAGAGTAACGGCCAACAATTAATGCGCGACTTAATTATGTGTTTAATTCTGTATTAATGTTGTAATTAATTTAGTCATTATTATGTTCGGCAGTTACCATTTGTAATCGCCTATAAAAGGCAATTCGAATTTCAAATACAGATATGCTATTTCTGGCTAACTTTCCATATTCGTACTTTCCTAATTCTTGCTTGAGTGTCGTACGTAGCTTTCCTAAAAGCCTACGAGCGTCCTATTTTGGACCAACATTGGTGCTTTCATTGAGAGCCTCTATTGTCTCTCACATAACTTGAGCAGGAATCACACAGGAAGATGGCTGGAATCTCGTCTCGACGTGACCATGTCTCAGTCCACACCGAGGAGTCCGCCCGGTCTGGCCGCCAGCGTGCCCTCGACAACCATGCACAGGGCAGGAGGGCGGCGCGCCAAGGCGACCTTCGGAACCAATTATCAGGTCACGGCGACCTAAGGGCGACGCTCAACCACACTCAAGGTGAGCGCTCGGTCCGCAGCCGGCGGGGGGGAGGCCGACGTCCTGCTCCGCGCATGGACCCGGCTCGACTCAATGCCGGGGTGGAAGCCCTGCAGGAGGCAACTCGGGTTCTGGGGACCTTGGCTCAAAATTTCCAACAGATGGTGTCTAGCGGAAATGTGGATGAGCCTGCCCGTCAACAGACGCCAGCGGATGTGGAGGTGTCCTCCAGGCGGCGTGATGAGCGACGCTCTGGATCCAACCAAAACAGGGGGGAAGAAGTCTCCCATCGGCGGGGGGAAGAAGTCTCTCAGCAGCCTAGCCGACCCCATCGGCAGACGGGGAGGGGCGCCCAGCAGGGGCGCCCAACGCAGATGGAAGGAGGCGAGCCCTCTCGCCACTCTCACCGGGCGAGCAGTCGGACTGGCTCCACGGAGAGGCAAAACGTGGGGCCCCGACCTCACGTGCACGGACGACTTGGAGGTGCCGCCGGACATGCCCAGCCCCGCGCTGGAGCTGTCCGGGGGAACCCACCGCCGACCGAGGTGGAAGATCTACGACAGCGCCTTGACGAGTTGAGAAGGAGGGTTGTCGGGGGGGGGGGGGGGGGAGCCTTACACGGCCGACCTCCGGATACCCGAACCCTTCACCCGGGCGGTCATGGATGCGCCGTTGCCGAGGGGCTACAAGCCCTGCGCCATTGAAGCATACAAGGGCGCTTCGGACCCCCAACATCATGTATCTCGGTACCTTTCCTACATGGTCATG